ACTCGCCTTCCAGGATGGGGACCGCGTGATCCTCACTTTGCCTGGTTGGAGACACTACAAGATATGGCTGCCAACCGATGTCAGTGGCGTTCTTGTTGTCAGTTTCTGTCCAGATTGCCTGAATGAATGTCTGGAGGTGTAGGCACCTCGGAATGATTGTGTTAAGCTAGCACTAAGTCCCTCCCCCATCCACCTTTATTCTTTTCTTTACAATAAGGCTTTCAAATAAGTCATGGTTGTACGACAGTGAAGCATCGGTGTTGAACACTAATGTCATGCGGTCGATGATGATGGTGATCCGTGGGTTAAGAGGAAACATGTATGAGGAATCGTTAAGTAATTATCGGCTTTCTTCCACAGCGTTCACGCACAACCATGGCTACTTCGCAGTGAATCAATCGCTATTCGGAATCGTATGCAGCGGTCACTCACAAAACTCAAATCACGTAGCAATCCTTGTCCCACTTGCAACCTCAGTCGATATAACAGGTACACTCGTATTTCCCATCCATTTTTGTCTGCGCGGCTACCACCTGCGTCACGCACCACGTTTACGAACTTCAACCACATCAGGTCAAGTTGTATTCATGTTCGTGCAAATATCAAACACGAATGGACACACCTTCCACACTGCATCTCGGCCCAAAAACAATCGTGCGAAAAGGACAGGAAGTGAACCGAGCTCCACAAGTTTCCACGGCTAACTGCGGAACACTTGTTGCAGCTATACTGCAGAGAAGACACGTCTGACGCCCCGAAATTCACTCAGGAACTCTCAAAAGTTGTCCTCAAACCATGAGTCACTTTGGCTTATTTCCTTCTCGGATTGTATTTATTTTTATCAAGTGCACAACTTTTGTAATCATCATCATTCTGGTTAGTGCTTGTCACCTGATAATCAACCTAATTATGTTACAACCAGATCACTAACAATTGGTGAGCCCGACGTGAAACTTACATTATGTCGGAATCTCCAGCACAAGATATTCCCTCACCTTCAATCCCACTAACACCCAACATCATCTTTCACCACTATTCCGGCACCACGACCCATGCATCTGGTTCACTCAAGTTCAAGCTCAGTGTGCCCTTCGCAAAATCACCCAATTCGTAATTTTCTTCTCCATACTTCATTCAAGCAGCTTAAGCGTTTCTTAGGAATGATCAACGTCTACTGACGCCTCATTCCTAAAGCTGATTCCATAGCAGCACCACCCACGAGTCTTTTATCTGAGGGGGTGCGTGCATGATGTCTGAAGTTGCTATGGTACAAGCAATGAACATTTCCCCTGGAGGGTGAATGTGGTAGAGAATGTAAGCGCGGACGTGACAGTGTACGGCGAAATCGGTAGGGTCGAAACAAGTGAGTGCCTTCTACCTGTTTAGTTAACTTGTCAAGACAGTCGTGAAAAGGGACACAAAACCTGGTGTATCACAGAAGAAATACCAGAAGAGCACGGTTGAACTTCCAGCATCTTATTTGCCATGCCAGCAAGTCCAGAGAATGGAGCACCTGAACTGGAAGTGAGAATTGATTGCGCGTAGGTGGAAAAACGTGTCAGAAGGAGTTTTTAATCGATTTTGTGGTCCCCCATGGTGTTATAATGTCGTCGCAACAGTTTAGATGGGGCAGAGTCATCGAGAGATTCTCCGCTAACTAGTTGTTCCAGTCGTTTATGTGCGGTTAAACTACAGCGTTTAATGACGGCGGTACGTAATTGAGTATACGGCTTGGTGCCATCAGGGTCCATTAAAATGTCGCATAAATCGGCTGCTATTTCAGACGTAATTGATATACGGCTTGGTGCCATCAGGGTCCATTAAAATGTCGCATAAATCGGCTGCTATTTCAGGATGGGGTACTGCAAGCACACGGTGATGCATAGTATGCTCTTGGTGATTCTGAGAAGGGCAAACTGAGCTCGAACTTGAGTAAACCAGTTGCATGGGTCGTTGTGCCAGAATGGTGGTGGAACATGAACAGAGGCGGCGTTAATGTTGGGTGTTGGTGGGATTGACGGTGAGGGAATATCTTGTGCTGGAGATTCTGACATGGTGTAAGTGTCACGTCTGTGCCAGAAGGTGGAACATGAACAGAGGCGGCGTTAATGTTGGGTGTTGGTGGGATTGACGGTGAGGGAATATCTTGTGCTGGAGATTCTGACATGGTGTAAGTGTCACGTCGGGCTCACCAATTGTTCGTAATCGGTGTATAATGAAGCGTGATCTTGTGAGTGACCGCTGCACGTACGGCTGTTTTCCCGTTGCTATCGTTGTCGGATTTTAAAGTTTTTTCATCCCTTTGTTCGGCCGCGTCTAGTTGCCAAGGTATAGACTTTGTATCACCGAAGCTCTGAAACAATTCTCCGTTTACTCATGTTCAGTAGATTGCCGTTGGTTTTAGTTTGCTACCGTTGCTTCGCATTGCTGCCTTTCAAGGACATCCAGCATATTCACTTGGCTCATTAAGCGCGTTCTATGTTCCGCTTGACCTGTATACCGATATAACACGTGTCTTGTTGACTCCGTATGTTGGCATTGTCTGAATATTGATAGCTCTGTTGCGTTAGCTGTTTATCAGATGGTAGGTAAGCTGCCCACCGAGCTTGACAGTTTCTTTGTAGACCTTTCGTCAACATTGTCAGTGCGCGATTCGGTGCGTATTCCTATCTGCTTGCTTTTTAGTCCTTGAGGAGCAATTTAGATCTTTAGCATATTCGGCTTTTTGAAGGTAATCTTGCTTGCGATATGAGTGTTCGGTCCTCAATCTGTGTTGCGTTTTACTTTATTTGCTTTTATTTCTGTGTAGTTGTTCACTCACGCTTGATTTCTGGTAGCTTCCGTTCTCTATTTTGATTCACCACTCACAACTGACCGGTTTATTCGTGCAGCTTCTCTATTGACACGACCTACTCGTTGGCCCACTTGCTGATTTGTTTTTCTGACCCTGGTTCACCTTATTTTGGGGATTGTACTTCATGGTTTAATCACTTTCCCCTCTTGGTTTTGGTTGTGATTGTGGATTTTATTCCTCCGTCTTAGAGGTTGATGTTCCTGTCGTTCTTTTAGCTTATGATGCGGAGGGGGTCAATTAGGACGTGCTTATTTACGGCTTTATAGTTAGAGAACTTTATTTCAATGGATTCGCGTGCCTAGTTTGTTCTTCCTTAATCCCGTGTATTGACGTTGACCCAGTTGAATTCATGTGGTCCAAATGGATTGCGTCTTCTAGTAACGAGTTTATGTTCGTTGATTCTGTCCCTTCGTTCCCTGCCTGTTTGTCCCACGTCGTGCTTGCTGCACTCCTTTCATTGGATTCTGTGGATAATGATCCCAGCTGCATTCGGTTTTTCTTTTGATTTTGATTATGCAGGCTGCACTGTGTTCGTAAGTATGTAGGCCTCTGTTACATCGTATCGTAGTATTGTTGCGATTATTTCAGAAATATCCTTGATTAATGGAAGTTTGATCTTTTTCTCATGTTTTCGTGTTGCTGGATAGGTTGAGTTGCATTCTCAGCGACTTCCAAATGACTGTCAATCGTTTGTTTGAATCCTTTGTGTGAGCGTTTTTCCCTTGCTTTGCATCTCACCGTGTTGATGTCTTGATTCGTTCGAACATCGTTCGGCTGCATTTATCTGTTTGGAAGTCTAGTGATTAGAACACCCGTAAATACCCGTTTGTTATCGTTTCCTTTTTCGACCTTAAAGTCGATGCAGTCAAAAATTGTTTATTAATTGGCGTATGCGTTCTAGTTCCTTCAGTTTTTTGGCTGAAGATGGTTTGGTTCCGGCCCAGCTTTTGCGCTGTACTCTCTGCGATGAACCTTGAAATTGGATATCACATTCGTGCCGCCATTAGTTCGCAATATGCCTTGTCGAATTCAAGATAGTGGTTATGCAAAGCAATTTGCAGACGTCTCACTCGGTGGACCGATGGGAATTCCCGGCTATCCAATAGTTCAGTAGCCTATGGATGAGAAGGAACATTTTCAAGCTAAATGTAGCAGAGGGGCTAGCAAGCTAAACATTTCAACTGACCAATGAGCGGAGTTTCTAGTGAAAGACCGTGCAAATGAACCAATCAGGCGCATGAAAGTGGTCCGCAACCCACGGACACCAGTGAGAATAAAGATAACGGACCAGTGATGACCACTGGTAGACAACGGGTCAACCAGACAACAGGAAGTGGACCGAGACTCAATGCATCGCAGGTAGGCCTATCAGAACGAGGAAAGAGGACTACAACGAGGCACAGTTCGCAGACAAACCAATCAGACCAGTAGTAAGAGTACTCCCAAACGACCGCTCATCTTATAGGTATGAGGTCCTTTTTGAAGACCATCCAGTGTAAGCGGGTAGGGAGTAAACAACTGCCAATCGACAGTGGTCTCCCGGATTGTGAACCAACACTTGTCAGCAATTTGCCAACAGCCAATGAATCCATGTTCCGTTCTATTGTAGTTTGTGCTCCTGAGTTAATTTGCTGGAGTTAATTAACTGGAGTCGATGCCCTTCTTGGTTCCAGCTCGCTGTTTTGATAAGTGAATTGATTGACGGACATCCATAGTTATTGAGGTTCGCTGCTAACCCACGGGCTTAATGCTGTAGCTTATAGCCTACTTGTTCCGATATTCTCCTATCGGATGACCCTACAAAGGCCAACTTGCTTCAGCAAACGTGTACTTTGGCCCCAAAACGTTCGGCCACACAACCATCCTCGTCCTGATTGGATTCATCTGACAGGCGTACAGAGGGATCCACGGTTAATAGCTTCAGGCTATCACCTCCTGGAGCACGCGCCTCTCCATCAGATTTTCCGTTATCCAATCTCTGTACACCCACATGATAAAGTACAGTCAAGACGAAACCGCTTCACTGGAAACGCTCAGTAGATTTCCGACTTCGTGCTTGGTAATTGTTCTGAAAACGTCAACAGATGGTTAGGATAGAATTCACACTCTGGGTATCCCCTCTCCAAACTTCAGAATCACCTTAGGCATAGATCTGGATTAGGTTTAGCAAATTGGTTGCTCAGCCTCATCCTATTCAGATACAAGTAATGTCGCAATCTCGTCGACCGTGGCGTCTTGTTTCAGTGTAGTGGTTTCTCAATCTTGGCTATTTCTGGATAAATAACTGAAGCGTAAGAGATATGGAGATTCAAGTAGACATTATTGTCGTGGCCAAAAGAATCAAAACGTCAGAATCGTCGGAAACCTTTCTTTTTGGATTCATACGCCTTAAGCGGTGCAGTTGGTGTATTTTTTAACAGCTGTCACATCGCAGTGAGAGATATTTAACTAAGAAGGGAAGTCTTTCTCATGAGTGATTTTACTGCAAGCTCGTGACGATACTCCTTCCAAATTAACTTTTTCAGAAATTGCAACGCATTCGAGGATTTCCGGGAGTTAGTGTTGAGTTGACGCCCATGAGAACCCCTAGGTGCTTTCAACGCAACCCAAGCATCATCAGTCACGCTGGAAAAGCCTGATAACGACCTTCCAAATCTGGAAAGTCCGGCCATACTATCATTCTCCAGAATAATGTAGAATAGCACCTTATTCTCTTCAGTTAATGTGTACTGGGTTTTGTTGATGACCTAATATTTGTCACCTTAACTGCAGATGAATGCATTCCTGTTCGTTTCTTCCTTGGTGTAGTGTACGACCTATTTATTCAATCATGAGAAGACTCTCCCCTCCAAACGCGGCTCGTGGATCATCAGAAGGTTCTTCTTTCGCCCAGATTGTTTGTATTAGGCCACTGGAGCCTGGAAATCCATAGAGTTCCTTCACAATAGGTTTTCTAGGTGATATAATGAACCTGGAAATCTAGGGAATAGGTGCATTATTCTCCCTACTTTTGTTTCCGTGCTTTCCTTCGGAATCCGGACTCCCTCTAAAAGTACCACTTTGTCCCAGTCCCCTGGGTTTCACCACTGGATTGATGGGCCAAATGGCTAAGTCCAAAATGAGACCAGAAGATTCTGACACTATTCCCAATACTCCACGACAGCAATCA